TTGAACCTATCAGAGAAATATAGATTAAAAATTCAGTTTTTTCCAAGTTAAAAATAGGAGTTTCTTCTTTATATTTAAGTTGTATAAATAAACTGTCGGTAGAGGGTTTTGTTGTTGTTTGTTTATAGAATTTAATATGTTATACACTTGATCTGAGAAGCAGCATCTGTTGATATACAGGATTTTCAGATGAGTAATGTTGCTCTTCCCGAAACATAAGCTGGTTGCAGTGCTCCAACATCAAACCAGCTGCTTCACTTTTCCTGGGGAAACCCATCAAGCTGTCTGCGGTGGCTTGGTGAGCAGCGGAGTTTCTGGGAACCCACTTCTCTTCAGTTTGGAGATCATCCTGCCCAACAGACCCAGCAGCAGGAAACAGGTCTGGTGTTTTGTTCTCTTATGTAAAAATCGGCGGATGACTTAAGTGCTGAGCCTGACACAGCTTGCTGTACTGGAGGTTTCCACAAGAGGGTGTGGATCCTTATCCAGACTGAGGCGGTCTGCTCCAGGGAAGCCATCTTAAAAGGAAATGGCGGTACCATACCAAGAAACAGAATACAACTAAAGCCAAATCTTCGAATGCACATAACTATCAGTTCTTTTTTAAAAAAAATTATATGTGATGAGCAACATAAATGTGGTATCCTTGACATTTTATTCAGCTTCTCCCAGCCTGGACTTTCCCTAAAATTATAATCTAGAATTAAAAGAAGACGCTTGTAAGTTATTTTGAGTCTGTTGAAAATAATGTAAAATTGGAACTTGAAGCGCTTTGAATGAATATGGAAGATTGAAAGCTTTTTTGTTGTTATTTAGCATATTACATCAGCAAGTCTGAGAGTCTTCATTTGTAGCCATTCTCTGTGGCCTCCCTGACAAGTGGAGACAAGTTTCCTGAGTCCTGGCTGGGAAGCAGGAGGCTGAGAAAGGCCTAGAGACTTAGCAACCTTCTTTGGTCTTCCTTGCTTCTTAGGAGGCTAATGTTAATTAATTTAAATGTTTATCCTTGGGGAGGGAATGTGCTCCTGAATTTCTCAGGGAAAAAAAATGCCTTTTAGAGATTTAATTACTACTTTTCTCAATAAAATGGAGCTAAAGAAAATTCTTTCTGAAATTTCAGAATGAATTTGGTGTATATTTTAATGGTCAATAAGTCATTAGATGTTACTTTTGTAGAAGTTGGTTGAAAGAATTAGTAGCTCAAATGGCCTAAAATGTGTTTTTTTATGTTGTTGTTTTAGATCATGCCAGGGAAATAAACTCGCTGGCTTGTTGGTTCATATAGGTTCCTTATTGAACCCTGGAAAAAGTAAGAGAAGTTGTCACATGTAAGACAGAATCATTCAGTTCTGGTAACTAGATAATGCAACTTTTACAAGACTCTTCTGCCATCACTGAGATATCACATTGAGAAATGTTCTAGATTAGGGCTCCTTATTTCCACCCTCCACCACATGGGTTAGTCTGAAGTACCTAGGGAGAGAAGCAAAGTATTGCGGTACAAATTCCAGCAGATCAAATTTTAATCTCTCGGTTATTTTTTGAAAATGAGTCCTAACACCAGGATTCAGTCTCGTCCTATGCTGCTTCAGTACATTACCTTCAATAGTCTCTGATCTTCCTTGAAACTCTTAAATGCAATAAAAACATACTGAGCTTCCAAAGTAGAGTACCATGGTGCACTCTGGGGGCACAGCAGTAAGCAAACGAGCGTCCCTGCTCTCCGTGGGCTCTCTGTGTAGTTGTGAAGTTGCCATACATTAGGAAAGACATCACTATCTTAAGAGCACTGTGTATTACATTTAATAGCCTAATTTCATCTAATTTCCCTCTTGAAAATCTCTAGTGGACACACTTTGAGAATTCTCTTTTAATATGAAAACTAGAAGTGGTTCCAGGCTGTATGCTTTAAGGTTTGGATGGTTTGGATGATGGGTGGCTGGATCTTAAAAATCAACTCTCTTGTTTGGAAGGATGAAAATACAAGCATGGGGTGGGGTGACACTTGCAACACTACGTTGCTTGCTCCCCCTCACCTCAGAGCCCCCACTGCCCTCCATCAACTCAGCACCATGTGCCTCTCATCTCTCTGTTTTTACTTTTTCCTTTGTCTTCGGCATGTAGCTCCCATCTGCTACTGTCAGACCACAGACAACAGCATTCCCCCGACTTCCTGCCATGTAAGGAACACTGAGACACTGTCAGCTCAAAGATGGTGGAATATACTTTTCAGGTGGAAGACAATTTGAAAATGCCTTTTATGGCTGTCATTAAAGCATGTTAAAAAAAAGGCCAGGTGGGGTCATGCATTCCTCGTGAGCACAACACTTAGAAGACTGAAGCTGGGGGTTGTGGATTTGCGGCTTGAGGAAAAAAAAGAAAGAAAGAGAGAGAGAGAAAGAGAGAGAGAGAGAAGGAGGAGACGGAGAAGAAGAAGAAGAAGAAGAAGAAGAAGAAGAAGAAGAAGAAGAAGAAGAAGAAGAAGAA